TGCTTATGTGGTGCTGAGGAATAGAACCCAGGGCCTCAGGCATGCAAGACAAGCACTCTACCACTGAGCCACCTTCCCAGCCCCTATGAGACTCTTATCTCCAGCAAAACACTGGAAGTGGAGCTGTGGCTCAAGTGGTAGAATATCAATCTTGAGCAATAGAGCTAAGGGAGAGTGCCCTGGTTCTTAGTTCAAATCTCCGGTACCAGCAGAGAAAGAATGAAAGGAAGAAGGGAAGAAAGAGAGAGAGAGAGAGAGAGGGAGGGAGAGAGAGAGAGGAAGGAAGGAAAGGAGGGAGGGAGGGAGGGAGGGAGGGAGGGAAAGAAAATGAAAAGGGAAAGAAAAAAAGGAATGAACAATGAAAGCATTAAGGTTAGTTTGGAGCAAGAGTAGAGAGCTGCCCCCTTAGCACCTTCTCCCAGTAGAACCGAAGTTGGCAGAGCCAGTCAAAGGAATTGACATCCATTAGGCCACTTTTATAAAGCCTCTCCAATACATCCCGGGCATGAATTTCTATTGTCACCAGAGCCACAATTTTAAGCCGCATAATCTTGGTCAAGTTCCCCCTGATGGCTTCTGAATATTTGTTTAGTATGGACACCTGTGGAATGAAGTGAGAAAGGACAAAGCAACTAAGGCAATGTCACCAAAGCCAAATCTCATCTCAACCCAGCCTAACCCCATGCTGATCCCACCCATCATTCCTCCACCCAATAGAAGCACAGGAAAACCTCACTGGCTTCACACCCTCATTTGGACCCTTTGCTACCACCAACTCCTTGCTAACTCTGACTCCAATGCTCATCTTCCTCTGGCCAATGTCAACCCCAGGCCTGATGAGTTCCCCACCTGTTTTTTCTTCATGACTTTGAGGATTTTCTTGTCTGCCCGCTCCTTAGCTGTCATCAGGCACTTGGTCACATCAGCTGTCCACTGGATCTGACTGGCCGTGATTACCACCTGAGGCAGGTGCACAAGCTGGTCCCCAGCCCTGCTCTCCGCCACCCACACAGCCCCAAAGAGGAGACAAGAAACCTCCATTTTGTGGAATTCTAAGGTCTTTCTTTCTTTTGTTGTTGTTGTTGGCTATGGGGCTTGAACTCTGGGCTTGGGCACTGTCCCTCAGCTCTTCAGCTCAAGGCTAGCACTCTACCACTTGAGCCACAGCACCACTTCTGGTTTTCTGAGTGGTTTTATTTGGAGATAAGAGTCTCATGGGCTTTTCCTGCCCCAGCTGCGATCCTCAGAGCTCAGCCTCCTGAGTAGCTAGGATTACAGGCATGAGACACCAGTGCCCGGTACGTGCACTCTCTCTCTCTCTCTCTCTCTCTCTCTCTTTCTCTCTGTGTCTGTCTCTTTCCTTACTTTGTGTGTATGTGTGTGTGTGCCAGTACTGGGGCTTGAATGGCATCCTTTAGCTTTTTCACTCAAGGATGGTACTCTACCACTTGAGCCACAGTCCCACGTCTAGCTTTTTGGTGCTTAATTGTGAAATGAGAGTCTCACAGACTTTCCTGGCCGGGCTGGCTTTGAACCATGATCCTCAGATCTCAGCCTCCTGAGTAGTGAGGATTACAGGCGTGAGCCACTGGTGCCTGGCTGCTCCAGAGTTTACTCTCCTCGCTATTCGCTTAGCTGCCTCTTGTTCCTCATCTGTGTTGGCCCCAGCTCACCTGACCAGCCCATTCCTTCACCCATTTGTCCCTCTTGTTGAGGAACTTCTTAAGAGCCACTCGGCAGTTCCGGAGAAGTTCCCGCAGCGTTATCCTCATGGTCCTTTCCACTTCACCCAGCCAATTCTGGAGAAAGGTGAAGAATATGATGACCCAAGGTCAGATCCCAGGTTCTCCCAGGAGAAAGTACTTGGGAAACGGGACTTCAAGACTTAGGACTCAGGAGAAGAACAAGAGGTAGGCAACAGGCTGGCTTAACTTCCCAAAAGAAATGGAGGCAGAAGACAGAGGTTTCTAACAGTCAGGAACGGCAGGTGGGTGTGTAAAAAGCAACTGAAAACACAATTCATATCCCTTTATGGCGATGTTCTGCCTTCATAGAGTCAAGCTGGCTTTCTAACAGAAGCAAACACAGCTTGATTCTTATGCGCTCAGCACAACTTACCTCCACAGGCCCTTCTAAAAGTACTGAGTGGAGGAAATCAATATATTCGCCATCACCTGAGAACATTCCCACAGCTTCCAATTTGCTGCTGGAACCCCCAACCTGGAACAAGAAGAAGCTATTAATGCACTTACCTGCTTGCTTTTTATATTCACCTAAAGTACTGGGATCTTTGAAGGGTGATTTCTTCCTCTCCTCTCCCCTCCATACTCCTCCTTCCCCTCCCCTCTCTCCCTTCTCTTCCCCTTCCCCTCTCTCGTCTCCTCTCCTCTCCGCTTCATAGTACCGTTTCTGAAAAGTTCTATCCTGTGATGATCTACAAATACTTTTGCACCAGGCGCTGGTACTCCTGCCTGTAATCCTGGCTACCCAGGAGGCTGAGGATCACAGTTCAAAACCAGCCTGGGCAAGAAAATCCATGAGACTCTTATCTCCAATTAACCACCAGAAAACTGGAAGTGGTGCTGTGGCTCAAAGCGGCAGAGTGCTATCCTTGAGCAAAAAAGCTCTGAGTTCAGGCCCCACAACCAACAACAACAACAAGAAAATTGTGTGTGCAGACACTGGTGCTTGAACTCCAGCTTCATATTCTCACTTGGCTTTTTCACTCAAGTTAGGCATTCTACCACTTGAGACACCCCTCCACTTCTGGCCTTTTGCTGATTAATTGAAGATAGGAGTCCATCTGATTTGTTTGCCTAGGCTGGCTTCAACTGAGATCCTCAGACCTCAGCCTCCTGAGTAGATAAGATTACAAGGCATGAGCTACCAGCGCCCATCAGGATCTAGAATTACTAATTTTTGTCACCCTCATGTTGGGAGAGCTTGGTTCCCTCCAAGGCCTTGAATATTTTCATTTAGTCTGTGCCTTCATTCCCTGCCCTCCGTTCTATCACAGCCACTTCTATTGACCTTCTGGATCCTCAGTAATTTGATGTTGTCAAAGCATTTTTTGAGGTGTGGCTGCACAGCTTCGGGGTTCCGGGACTGGCCCAGAATCTCCAGCAGGTCATCATTGGACAAGAAGTAGAAGCGGGGGAAAATATGGCGCTTGGTCTCCAAATACATATCCAGAGACTTCTGAATATCCTCCAGGATTGTATTCATTTCTATCAGTGTGTCCAGGAGGCCTGGAAAGATGAGCATTAAATGTGATTTGATGGCCTCTTTTGTACTGCCTTGAGTAGACTTGGAGTTCCAAGATCTAGTTTACCTAATTTGTTGTTGTTGGTGGTGGTGGTGGTGCGTGCATGCATGCGTGCGTGTGTGCATGCACACGTTTGTGTGTGTGTGTGTGAGAGAGAGAGAGAGAAAGAGAGAGTATTAGGGCTTTTGAACTCAAACCTCACGCTCTCCTTTGGCTTTATCACTCTTTATCACTCAGAGCTGGCACTCTACCACTGAGCCACACCTCTACTTCTGGCTTTTTGCTGGTTAATTGGAGATAAGAGTCTCATAGACTTTTCTGCCAGGCTGGGGAAATGAGGGGTGAGACCTTATCTCAATCAGTAAGCCAGGAGTAGTAGTCATATCTAAAATCTCCATTACACAGGAAGCATAGGGGGGAGGATCACAGTCTGAGCCCTAGGCAACAATGTGAGACCCTCCTTGAAAAAAAGAACTAAAGTGGAAAAAAAATTGGTTGAATGTGTGCTTCAAGTGGTAGAGTTTCTGTGTAGCAAGCTCAAGGCCCTAAATTCAAACCCCAACACTCCTAAAGGGGGTAGAGAACTTATCAGGCACTGGCAGCTCACACCTGAATTCCAGCTCCTAAGTTACTGAGGGGATCGAAATCTGAGGATCTCTGTTCAAAGCCAACCTGAGTAGACAAATTGGAGAGACTCTTATTTCCAATTAACCAGCAAGAAGCTAGAAGTGTAAGAGTGGTTCAAGTGGTAGAGTACCAGCCTTAAGCAAAATAAGCCAAAGAAGAGCTTAAGATCCTGAGTTCAAGCCCTAGGACTAATGTGTGGGAGCAGAGCATGCGTGCGCGCGCGCACACACACACACACACACACACACACTTAAAAAAGGCAATGTCTTCTGGGTGTTAGGATTACACCTGTAATCCTAGCTACTCAGGAGGCTGAGATTTCAGGATTGTAATTCAAAATCAACCTAGGCAAGGAAGTACATGAGACTTATCTCTCTACTCAACCACCAAATAAAGCCAAAAGCAGAATTAGTGGCTTAAGCAGTAGAGTGCTAGCCTTGAGCCAAAAAGCTCAGGGATAGATAGCACCTAGGCCCTGAGCAAGCCCAGGACCATGGGGGGAAAGAAGGCTGTGGAGTTCTGACCTGGATAGTGGGTGCTCCTGAGAGCATTGTTGTCCTTGCTCATCCGGTCCAGGATGCTTTTCCAGTTACTGTTGACCTGGTCAAATAGGGCTGATTCATTGGGCAGCTGCTTGCGGATATCCTCTCCCATGAAGATATTCTGAGGGGGTCACAGAACTGGGGTGAAAGACTTTCTTACATACTCTCCATATTCTGTTCCCTGTTCCCAGACCAAGGAAGACAACTGAGTAGAAAATTAGAGCACTAGAAACCATCAGGCAGAATACCCAAGTTCTAGAAGGAAGTGGTGCAGTTAGAAAGTCATCATTGTACTCAAGAAAAAAAATAGAATGAGAATCTAGGAAGAGCAAAGGATTATTAAAAAGGTAATTCAATGTGAGAGACAATGATTAAGCTAAGCACTGCTGTTGGCTCATACCTGTAATCCTAGCTACTCAGGAGGCTGAGAACTGAGGATCATGGTTCAAAAACCAGCCCAGGCAGACAAATCTGAAAGACTCTTGTGCCCAATTAACCAGTAAAAACCCAAACTGTGGAGCTGTGGCCTAACTAGTAGAGCACTAGTCTTAAGTGAAAAAGCTAAACAAGAGCACAAGGCCCTTTGTTCAAGCCCCAATACCATACATGTACATACATATCTATACACACACACACACACACTCACACAAACAACTTGACTGTAATGAATGGGGAAAATGAGGTTGGCAACAGAATCAATAATGTGTCCTAAATACACAAAGGAGTAGAAGGAGGAGGTACGGAGGGGCCAGCACCTCTAGGTACATCCACTGGCGCTGCACTGTGAGAACCATCTCAATAACTTCCAATATGAGGGAGAGGCAACGTTCCCAGTGGTCCACCTCCTTCTCAAAGGCCTTGACAAAACGTGACGCCTTCATGGTGGACAGAGCTACCTGATTATCTTCCAGGGCCTGGAATACTTCTTCTGTACCTCTGGGAATAGGAGATCAAACTTACAGCCCATCCTCAACTGCCAAACTTTGGTCCCTGCCCTGAAACCCAGATCCCATGATCTCCCCTCTCCTGGAACCCCATCTCTACCTGAGCCGGTGATGGCCCTTATCCTTGTAGGGTACTATGTCTAGCTGAGTCACCTCCCAAGTCTTGGCAATGTTTTGTAATCCCTGTGAAGAGAAATTGGGAGATGGCACAATGAGAACTCGAGTCCCCAAGGGGAAGAAGAGCAGGAAGTGTTTGTTCCAGGAAGCTTACAAAGTGGGAAAGATGGATGGGGGCGGGGTCATACCAATTCAATGGCCAATTCTTTTGTTGCCGAGGCAGAGATCTCCCCAATTTTCTCCACATGCTGATCCATCCCAAGTTCCACAATCTGCTCCAAAGTAAAGCTTTCTGACTCCTGGTCAAAGTCCCGTTGGATCTCATCTCTGACCTGGTCCCAGTGCCTACAGGCAGGAATAGGATGTGTGAGCTTCTGGCCCTACTGAAATGGGTCAACATCATTTCCTGAAATGGGAGGTGCAGCTCAGGTGGTAGAACATTGGCATAGAGTGTGTGAAACCATTAGTTTCTCCCTAGAACAGTACCCCTCCCCCACAAAAATCAGCCAGTTACCAGTTGCTCATGCCTGTAATCCTAAGTCTTCAGGAGGCTGAGATCTGAAGATCCTGGTTCAAAGTCAGCTCAGGTAAAAAAAAAAAGTCTGAAAAACTCTTATCTCCAATTATCCAGCAAAAAGCTAGAAGTGGATGTGTGGCTCAAGTGGTAGAGTGTCATCCTTGAGTAAAAAAGCTAAGCAACAGCACAAGGCCTTGAGTTCAAGCCCCAATACTGGCATACATGCACACACTCACACAACACACACACACACACACACACACACACACACACACATCACTGCCTGTGCATCTTCCCACTGGGACATTATGATTCTGGGTATTTATTATCATGATCTAACAGATTTGACTAAATAGGCTCTAAGGTGCAATCGTAGGCACTGTGGGGAATACAAAGATTGACGTGTCACCCTGCAGGAGCTGATTCTCTGGAGAGGGAGTTAGGCAGGTGTGCACATAAAACACTCAGTATTGCAGGTTCACTGTGGAACATGGGCTGAGCTAAGTACAGGAAATACTGCATTGAATTCTCACAACCACTTCCTAAAAGATTATTATTCCCAATTTAGATGAGGAAACTGAAGTTTAGAGAGGCTAAATAACTTAAGTAGATAAAGGTGTTTAATTAGATTACCACATCACACTTGGGGAGGAAGCTCCACCCAAAGCATTACACTAGAGCCAATGGGAGAGAAGTAAAATTATTTTCTCCTTAATGGCTAGATCAAGATTGAAACACTATTGACAAAATAATTTATTCTGTCCTTAGTGGCTCAGACTACCTCCTCTACCATATAACAAATTCCAGAGGTAAACTTGAAAATCACACAATATTTTTAGAGGAAAGATTGAATAGAATTCATTTTATTTTATTTTTATTTTTTGCTGGTCCTGGTTTGAACTCTGGGCCTGGGCACTGTCTCTGAGCTCCATGTTGCTCGAGACTAGTGCTCTACCACTTGAGCCACAACACTACTTGCAGCTTTTTTTTTTCTTAATTCGAGATCAGAATCTCACCAATTTTCCTGCTCAGGGTGGCTTTGAACCCCAGTCCTCAGATCTCAGCATTCTGAGTACAGATTTTTTTTTAACTTTAAAATAGAGGTCTTCTTTGTGGTGTGTGTGTGTGTGCGTGCGTGCGTGCGTGCGTGCGTGCGTGCGTGTGTGTGTGTGTGTGTGTGTTAGTACTAGGTCTTAAACATAGGACCTATGTGATATCTCTTAGCTTTTTTCACTCAAAGCTGGCACTCTATCACTTGAGCCACAGCTCATCTTTAGCCTTTTGCTGGTTAATTGGAGATAAGAGTTTGCTGCTTGGCTTAGCATCAAACCTGATCCTCAGAGCTCAGTCTCCTGAGTAGATAGGATTACAGGCACGAGGCAACAGCACCTAACTAGGAAGGTTTTAAATGAGGCAGAAAAGCAAAAAACATTTGGGCGATATCAAAGCAAAACATATCGTATGACAAAAGACACAGGCTTAACCACAGTAGGCAGCACAAAGCAGGCCTGTGCCACACCACTTGGAACATCCAAGCATGATCTTGTTGATTTCCTGAGTTAAGCAGGGTCTAGGCACAGCTTGGCATAAGCACAAAAAAACTTATTCCAAAAATAACTGTAGCAGCCAGATGCCAGTGGCTGAAGCTTGTAATTCTAGCTACTTCGAAGGCGGAGATTGAGAAAGTTGCTATTCCAGGCCAGCCCACGAGGAGTAGTTCCCAAGACTCCACCTCAACAGAAGGAAACTGGGTATTGTGGCACACACCTGCCGTCTCAGCTACTAAGAAAGCCTAAAATAGATGAATCATAGTCCAGGCATACTCAAGGCAGGAAGGAAGAACCTAGCTCAAAAATAGCTAGAGAGACACGGCTTGGTGATCAGGCCCTTGCCTAACAAGGGCAAGATACTGAGGGCAACTCCAGAATTACCAAAACTGTAAAATAACTGAAGCAAAAGTGCTTCAGTGGCTGGAGGCATAACTCAAGAGGTAAAGCACCAACCATGAGCAAAAATTCCAAGTAAGAGTATGAGGCCCTGGAATGGCTCACTCCTATAATCCTATCTTCTCAGGAGGCTGAGCTCTGAGGATTATATTGTGAAGCCAATCTGGGCAGAAAGGAAAAGTTCTTCAGGCTCCATCTTCAATTAACTAATAAAATGTCAGTCTAGGGCTGGGAAGGTGGCTCAGTGGTAGAGCGCTTGCCTTGCATGCATGAGGCCGTGGGTTCGATTCCTCAGCACCACATAAGCAGGAAAAAAAGCCAGAAGTGGTGCTGTGGCTCAAGTGGTAGAGCACTAGCCTTGAGGTGAAGAGCTGAGGATAGCACCCAGGCCCAGAGTTCAGGCCCACGACCGGACCCCCCCAAAAAAAGTCAGTCTAAAGGCATGGATTAAGTAGTAGAGGTCTGGCCAGCTGTTAGCAAGCTCTGTTGCCAGCAAAACTTATAAAGGATTACCACTAAAGTGGTAGACACCTGCCTATCTGGAAATTGTCAGCCTCTGAATCTAACCCCCAGTAGCACCAAAAATAAAATAATACATGGGGATCTAGCACTTACCTAACATATACAATGTTCAATGTCCAGTACTGAAATAAATTCTAATTTTTTTGCCAGTCCTGGGGCTTGAACTCAGGGCCTGGGCACTGTCTCTGAGCTGCTTCTGCTTCTGCTTCCTCCTCCTCCTCCTCCCACATTCCTCCTCCTCCTCTTTTTCTTTTTTTTTTTTGCCAGTCCTCGGCTTGAACTCAGGGCCTGGGCACTATCCCTAAGCTTCCTTTGCTCAAGGCTAGTGCTCTAACACTAGAGCTACAGCACCACGTCCAGCTTTTTCTGTCAATGAGCTACTGGGGAATTGAACCCAGGGCTTCATGTATGCTAGGAAAGCACTTGACCATTAAGCCATATTCCCAGCTTCTGAGCTTCTTTTGCTCAAGGCTAGCACTCTACCACTTGAGCCACAGTGCCACATACAGCTTTTTCTGCTTCTGTGGTACTGAGGAATTGAACTTAGGGCTGCATGCGTGCTAGGCGAGCACTTTACCACTAAGCCACATTCCCAGCCCACAAATATTCTAATTTTTTTTAAAATAAAATGAGAATAATAAAGCAGGCATGCATGAACATGGCAGGAAGAGAACACTCTGGATACTGCAAGAGGGAACGGGGGAGCCAGGTGGGATCCCAGGCCTAGGGGACAGAGCAGGTGGACCCCAGGCAGAGGCGCTGGCTCACCTATCGCGGAGGGCAGGGTTCCGCAGGTCCGAGATGAGCGGCATGGTCCTCTTGAACTGCTCGATTTTGGAGCGAGTGGTTTCAATAATTTCCCAGTTTCGGTCCTGAGCAAAGATGGGAGCCATTATAAGACCAGAATGCCATATCCCTGTTGTCCTGCTTTCTCGGTGGGGCCTCTCCAGCCCCCTTGTCCTGTCTCCACATACCTTATACTCTTTGGCAAGCCTTGTGAGGCGACGAAACAGCCCATGGGCCATGGTTTCCATGGCCTCCGTCTGCAGGGTCAGGAACCGGCCCGTCTTCCATTGGTTCCAGCTCTCCTCCCAGTCCCGAGTGATCTCCCATACTTGCTGAAGGGCATCAAGCTCCTGTGGGTGACCAAGAGCAGAAAGACACCTGGTATAACGTGGCGCTGCTCGCTTTCTCCCTCGGGATGGCTGACCTCACCCTGGTCCTTTCTTCCGTTTCTTGTGACCCTCCAAATAATGGCACCACCACCTCCCACCTCCAAGCATAGATTTCCCTCCTCTCTCTCACTGTAAGGCTCATCAAGTGATAAGTTCATGAAAAGATGCTCAACATCATTAGTCATTAGGCAAATGCAAATTCGAATCTCAGCGAGAGATCGCTTCACACCCACTAGAATGGCTAGAACTAAAAAAAAAAATTTTTTTTCAAAAAGGAAATAAAATGTTGGCACAGATACAGAGAGAAAATCGAAACTCTTGTACATTGCTTGTGGGGATATAAAAATGGGGCAGCTGCTGTGGAAAAGAGCTTGGCAGTGTCTCAAAACCTTAATATAGACTTACCATATGACCCAGCAGTTCTATTGCTAGGCTTACATTCATGAGAATTGGAAACAGGTGTGCAAACAAGGAACAAGAACATGCATGTTCGTAGCAGCACAACTCACTACAGCCCAAAGGCAGAAACAACCCAGTCACCCATCCATGGATAAAAGGATGACCAAAATGTGATCAGTACAAACAATGGAATATTATTCAGCCATAAAAAGGAATGGAGTACCAATCTGTGCTCATTGAACAAACTTGGAAGATACTATGCTGGCTGGGAGAAACCAAGAAACAAAAGATGCCAGATGTCAGAGGCTCCTGCTGAGGTCTGAGGATCACGGTTCAAAGATAGCCCAGGCAAGGGAGTCCATGAGATTCATCTCCAATTAACCACCAAAAGCCACAAGTGGAGGTGTGACCCAAAGGGTAGAGTTCCAGCCTTGAGAGTATAAAAGCAAAAAGGCCCAGGGACAGTGCCCTGAGTTCAAGCCCCAGTATTGGCTTGAAGAGACAGGCAGAGAATGGAGGGGGAGAGAATACCTTATATTGTACAGTTCCATTATACATGGTTCTATTTATAAAGTATTTCCAAGATAGATAAATTCATAAACATAGGAAACAGTCATTGATAGGAGGTGAGGGAAGGAATGAGGAGTGGATTATTGAAGGGGACATGGTCTCCTTTTAGAATCATGAAAATGTTTTGGAAGTGGACAGGAATGGTGGCCATATAACATTGAGAATGATCTAAATACCACTGAGGCTGGGCGCCGGTGGCTCATACCTGTAATCCTAGATACTCTGTTGGCTGAGATCTGAGAATCATGGTTCAAAGCCAGCCCAGGTAGGAAAGTCTATGAGACTCTTACCTCCAATGAACCACCAGAAAACCGGAAGTGGTGCTGTGGCTCAAAGTGTTAGAGTGACAGCCATGAGCAAAAAAGCTCAGGTTCAGCACTCAGACCCTGAGTTCAAGCCCCACACTGACCAAAAAAAGGTTAGTCTTGCTATGTGAATTTTACGTCGATAGAAAAAACAAATCCACAAAGCTTCTGGTGACCTCATCTACCTGGTCCCAGCTCTGCGTGCAGAGAACACCTTCTCAGCACCTGCCTTTATCCCTTGCTTCCACAGGGCTAGCTTAGCACGTCACCTTCTCCAGGTTCTGAAGGTCCTTGGAGGCCGGCTGCTCGATCTTGAAGATGCCCAGGTTGGATCGGAGATTGTTCTCCTCCTCTCGCATGCTGTTCAGCATAGCCCGTACCTGGGCAATCTGCTCCAGGGCAGCAGCAGCACCCACGTTGCTGGTGAAGGGCCCTGGGGGCAGTTCAGGGTACAGCTCAGCTCCCTGCTCCCATCCACCATCCCTTGAAAAGACGCATTCATGGCTTTCCTATCTCTGGGGGTGAATGTCACTTCTCTCCTCACAAAAGTGAGGGGGGGCGGGGGAGAGAAGGAAAGGGCAGGAAGAAGAAATGCATGGAGAAATAGGAGGTCATCTTTCTAAAAAAAACAAAAACAAAAAAACAAAAAACTGCTACATGTAGCCAGCACCAGTGGCTCATGTCTGTAATCCCAGATACTCAGGAGGCTGAGGATTGAGATTCAAAGCCAGTTCAGGTGGGAAAAGTCCCTTTGTTTCTTATCTCCAGTTATCCAGCAAAAATCCAGAAGTGGAAATGTGCTTCAAATGATAGAATACTAGCCTTGAGCAAAAAAAAAAAAAAGCATGAGTCCCTGAGTTCAAGGCCCAGTACCAGCATCAAAACGATTTTAAAAAAAGAAAGAAAAGGAACCAATATATAAGGACACGTGCACCTCCATGTTTATTGCAGCACTGTTCACAATAGCTAGGATATGGAAACAACCCAGATGCCCCATCACAGATGAATGGATCCAAAAATTGTGGTATCTATACACAATGGAATCTTATGCAGCCATTAGAAATGACAAAATAATGGCATTTGCAGGGAAATGGATGGAGCTAGAAGGAATCATGTTGAGCGAGGTAAGCCAAGAGCAAAGAGACAAACGGTACATGGTCTCCCTGATAAGTGGATGCTAACTGCAAAATGTTAGGTGATACGACAAAACTAACAGGACTTAAGAAACAAAGAACTCCCACTCATCTGGTCGAATCACTACTAAATATCCCCATGCTGCTGATCACATGTATGATGTATAACATGTGACACCGTTATATGTTATAGACTGTGATAGACAATTTGCTCCAGGAAAGTTAGAATGAACTTGTGACTTTAAATGAGCATCATTATTCCACAATACTGTGAAATTTGGGAAATTATGTAATCACTTAATCACAATTAAAAAAAAAAAAGAACCTCAGGGAAGGTAGGGAGGGAAGGGATGGTAGGGGGAAAACAATGGAGGGGGTAACAATGCTCAATAGGAAGTGTACTCATTACCTTGCTCATGTAACTGTAACCCTCTATATAGTATCTTTACAATAAAATATTAAAATTAAAAAAATAACTAAAGCAAAAAAAAGAAAGAAAAACTTACCAAACAAAACAACAACAATAAACACTGCAAAATGTGGCTGGAGAGCCAGATACAGGTGGAAGAAAAGCAGTCTGAATGAGAACAGTGGAAATAGCAGCTGAGCTGCATCTTCTGACTAGAAATCTGAGACAACGAGTCCGTGCACCTGGCCACTAACAGAGCCTAAGGAGGCCCAGCTCTTTCCCTCCCCAGCACCACCCTCCCTCCTCTCATCTGTTCTCGAATTTTCTGGACAGAGAAACTCTGGATCACAAAACAAAGATTAAACAAGGGGCAACAATGGAGCAAGGAGAAAGTACCTTTTAGGTCAAAGTCTTCAAGAAGGGTGTGTGCCTTCTTCTTGAAGTCATCGGCAGAATGAATAAGGCCTGTCTTGAATTTCTCCTTGTGTTTCTTCAGCATTTGTTCACTGTCTGTGAGAGTTTGTTGGAAGGTGAGCCATTCCCCATTCAGATTATCCAGCATCTCCAGGACCTAGGGACATCCGAGAGGAAAGGAGGACCAGTGAACAAGGCCTGTCCTTCTCATGCACAAGCACGCATGCGCGTGTACCCATACTGGGGCTTGAACTCAGAGTCTGGACACTATTTCTTCACTTTTTCCTCAAAGCTGGCCCTTTACCACTTCTGGTTTTTTCCTGGTTAATGGGAGGTAAGAGCCTCATGAAGGTTGGAGGCTTGGGTCAATTGGTAAAGTCTTAGCCAGTGAGTGAGAGTATCAGGTACTAAGTTCAAGTCCCAGTTTCAGGTTAAAAAGAAAAAGCCTCATGGTTTCAAACCACAACCCTTACATCTCAGCCTCCTAAGTAACTAGGATTACACATATGAGCCACCAGCACCAATGCTGTTTTTGCCTTTTTGCTTTTTCAGAGATGGGTATTGAATACAAGGCTTCACACATGCTGAACAAGCACTCTACCACTGAGCTACATCCCCAGTCCTCCACCCAGGACTCTTTTCTGATCCTGTAGATCAGAGTCCATGGAGAAGCCTGGTGTGTTTGACAATTGCCAGGCTTAAAAGGAATCACTTTGGTTCTCAGAGGCTTCAATTTTTTTCCCCTTCCTATTCCTGGGGCTTGAACTTAGGGCCTGGGAGCTGTCTTTGAGGGTTTTTTTCCCCTCAAGGTTAGTGCTCTATCACTTGAGCACAGCTCCCCTTCCTTCCCTCCCTCCCTCCCCTTCCCTTCCCTCTTCTCCCCTCCGCTCTCCTCCGCTCTCCTTCCCTTCCCTTCCCTTTCCTTCTTTTTGGCAGTACTAGGGTATGAATTCAGGACTTAAGCATTTGCTGACAGGTGCTCTACCCCTTGACCTATTCCCCAAGTGTTTACTTATTTTTCATTTTTTTGTCCAAGTCTGACCCATGTCACACTGTGATGCTCCTACCTACAGTCTCTAACATAGCTGGGATTTATGGGAGTGTCACACTATGCCTGCTTATTAATTGAGATGAAAGTCTTTTAGCCCAGGCTGTCCTCGATTATTGATCCTCCTATCTCTTCCTCCTGAGCAACTAGGCTTACAAACATGAACCGCCATGCTTGGCCTCTGACTCTTTTTTCTCCCCCTCACTTCTTACTGTCCACAGATGGTATCAAAGTCCTCCACTACCTGTTACCCTTGGTATGGGCCCAAGTGGAGGGGCTCAAACACCACAGGAACTCACACTTTCTGAAACAGATACTTCATACTTTTCCAGAATGGCAAATTGCTCATGGATGGGAGGTATCTGGGTTTCCAGGTTGGGCAAATCATGCTGCAGGGTTTCCATGAGTTGTAAACTGCCCCCCAATTCCTCCAGCGTCTGAGGAGGATGGCTGATTCTGAAGGCAAGCAGACCGAGTGTTGTAGGTGAAACACACACACACACACACACAAATAAACACAAGCTTGCGCACGCACACATGCACATGCACATGCAAGCATGCGCACATATACGCACGTATCCAACCGCCCCCAAATTAGTCTTACTTCTCTGCATTCTCCTTCAGGTAGGTGTGCAGCTCCAGCAGGTGCTTAGCTGCCATCTCCTTGAGCAGAGTCGTGAACTTGTTCTGCCACTCATTGCAGTGTTGCACCAAAGAGAACTTGAGGTTTGAACAGTCCAGCAGCACAAACTGGATGTTAAGGACCGTCTCTTCCTTCTGCACATTGTTTGCCACCTCTGTGTAGCTGCAAGGGCCCCAGATCCCTGCTAAGATGGTTTAGCCTTCAGAGACTTAGTCCACACCTAATGCACATTCATGTTCTCATTTCCTTCCTCCCAGACTTGTGCAGCAACTCTAGCACCTTCTATTCCCAGGTGTCTCCTGGACCAACCCAGCCCTGGCAGCTAGGTGAGGCCACATCTATGCCACAACTGCTGGCTACAAGACAAGGCAGCAGTTATGTTTTCTGGCTCCTGAGGCCTCACAGTTGCACAATTTGAGACTGAGTTCATACCGTGCTGTTCCTTACCTCTGTGGCTGCAGGCAGTTGCTTTTTTGTTTTTGTTTTTGTCAATCATGGGGCCTGAACTCTGGGCCTGGCGCTGTCCCTCAGCTCTTCAGCTCAAGTCTAGCACTCTACCACTTGAGCCATGGAGACACTTCCAGCTTTTTCTGCTTATGTGATGCTGAGGAATCGAACCCAGGGCCTCATGCATGCAAGACAAGCACTCTACCACTGAGCCACCTTCCCAGCCCTTGTTCTGGTTTGTTTTAAGAGAAGGGATCTCACTATGCTGCCCAGGCTGTCCTCAAATTCCTATGCTCAAGTGATCCTCCTGTCTCAACCTCCTGATGAGCTGGGACTACAGGTGTGGACAACTACAGCTAGAGTCAGCTCAACTTGTTCTTTCAACTGTGTTAAGTCTGAGTTTCCTCATCTGTTACATAGTGATGATAATAGACTCTCCCTCACCAGGTTGCTGACAGGTTGCTCAGCCCATCTCTGCCTGCTGAAAACCTACCTGTTCTAGAAACTGTAGCTTCAAGGGTATTTTCTTTTCCTATTTTTTTTTTGGGGGGGGTCCGGTCATGGGGCCTAAACTCTGGGCCTGGGCGCTGTCCCTCAGCTCTTCAGCTCAAGGCTAGCACTCTACCACTTGGACCACAGTGCCACTTCTGGCTTTTTGCTTTTTGCTTATGTGGTGCTGAGGAATCGAACCCAGGGCCTCATGCATGCAAGGCAAGTGCTCTACCACCTTTCCAGCCCCTTCTTTTCCTATTTTTTATGCTTTACTTTTGAATTAGCAGACATTGCCAAAAAAACACTTTCTTCATGAAGCTTTTCCTGATGCCCCTGGCTAGAAGCTTTCTCTCTGCTCTCCTTTGGCTTTTAAATGTCCTACAAAAGTGCACACACTAAAGACCCAGTCCCCAGCTTGGCTCTACTAGGAGGCAATGGAAGCTTTAAGAGTTAAGGCCTAGTAGGATCTTGTGAAGCTGGCATTGCAGGGAATTGTGGGATCCCAGCCCCCTCCTCTCTCTCACTCCAAGCAATGAGGTTCACAGCTTTGCTTCCACTGTAATTGCTGCCAACACTCAGAGCAATGCTGCCAACTAGCCATAGACAAAAACCTCCAAAACAATGCTTTTATCTTTATAAATTCATTAGCTCAGGTATTTGTTACAGTAACAGAATACTGACTGACTAACACACCTTCTAATGAACTAATTCTCCTGGTACCTTGTTCAACACATTGAAGCATATACGATCATGAAAACAGTTCTTCACAGTTTACAAAGCTCTCTTGTGTATATTTAATAACTCCATAGTGTTCTAAGATAGGCTGTATAAACTACTTTACCAGAAAGATAACCTAAGAATATAAGAAACCGTCTAAGACTGCACAGCTAGTCAATAGTAGGAGCCTTCCCAAGGCGCCATAACCACTTTTCTCTTTCTCACTAGTGCTGCTCAGAAGAAGAAAGAACTTTTTCTTTCTTTCTTCTTTTCTTTCTTTGCTTCTTTCTTTCTTCCTTTCTCTTTCTCTTTCTTTCCTTCCTTCCTTCCTTCCTTCCCTTCCTCCTCTTTCTTTCTTTGCTTCTTTCTCTCCTTCCTTCCTTTCTTTTTTCTTTCTTTCTCTCTCTTTCTTTCTTTCTTTCTTTCTTTCTGTCTGTCTGTCTGTCTGTCTGTCTTTCTTTCATTTTGTGCCAGTCCTAGGGCTTGAACTCAGGACTTGGACACTGTCCCTGAGCTTTTTTTGCTCAAGGTTAGTGCTCTACCACTTTGAGCCATAGCTCTACTTCCAGCTTGGTGCTTCATTGGAGATAAGAGTTTCACGAACTTTCCTGCTTGGGCTGGCTTCAATCCTTAATCCTCAGATCTCAGCCTCTCTAAGTAGCTAAGTGTGAGACACCAGAACTTGGCATCTCTCTCTGTTTTTAAAATTCTACATGGACTTTAGGACATGGTGTTGAATGAATGAATAAATGACCAAATGACAAGGGGACCTTGGCAGTTAAGGTTACAATTTAGGGGTTGGAGATTTAGCTCAATGGAAGAGCACTTGCCTGGCAAGTACAAGGCCCTGAATTTGGTCCTCAGGTATGGGGGGAAGAAAAGCGCTCAGGAATAGCACCCAGACCCTGAGTTCAAGTCTTAGGACCAGCACACACACACACACAGATTGTAAGTTAGAGCCAGGAGCTGGTGGCTCATGTCTGTAATCCTAGCTACTCAGGAGGCTGAGATCTAAAGATCGCAGTTCAAAGCCAGCCGAACAAGAAAGCTTGTGAGACTCTTATCTCCAATTAATCTCCAGAAAACTGGTAGTAGAGCTGTAGCTCAAAGTGGTAGAGTGCTAGCCTTGAGTGAAAAAGCTCAGGGACAGCACTCAAGCCCTAAGTTGAAGCCCCATGGCCAACAAAAACAAAATTTAAAATTTTTACAATTTAAGAAGCTTCTGCCAGGCATTGGTGGTCACACCTGCAATCGAGCTACTCAGGAGGCTGAGATCTGAAGATTGAGGTTGTAAACCAGCCTGGGCAGACAACTCCAGTGCATTCCTATTTATCTCCAGTTAACCAGCAGAAAAGCCAGAAATGGAGGCATTGTTTCAGTGACAGAGTGCTGATCTTAATCAAAAGAGCTAAGTAAGGGCTGGGAAGGTGGCTCAGTAGTAGAGTGCTTGCCTTGCACGCATGAGGCCCTGGGTTCGATTCCTCAGCACCACATAAGAAAAAAACCGGAAGTGGTGCTGTAGCTCAAGTGGTAGAGTGCTAGCCTTGAGGTGAAGAGCTGAGGGACAGCGCCCAGGCCCAGAGTTCAGCCCCACGATTGGACCCAAAAAACAAACAAACAAACAAAAAAAGCTAAGTGAGAGCACAAGGCCTTATGTTCAAGCCCCAAGACCTCACAAGGAAAACACAACTTCTTCAATTCCAACCTGCCTTCTTAGAATGAGGTGTACCTTCTTTGCATCTTTCCAATTGCTTGTGCTTCCTCTTTCCCTATCCTAAGGCCCTTCCTCCAAACAACTATAGCTCTTGAAATCTTGTCCAACTCTTCCTGGATCTCTACACTGGAGAAACAAAAGTCCAAGCCAGGCCCCCGTGACTCATATCTGTGATCCTAGCTACTCAGAAGACTGAGATCTGAGGATCAAGGTTTGAAGACAGCCCAGGTCGGAAAGTGCCCATGAGTCTCTTATCTCCAAGAAATTACTCAAAAAAAAAAGCTGGAAGTAATGCTGTGGCTCAAGTGGTAGAGTGCTAGCCTTGAGCACAAGAAGTCCAGGGACAGTGCCCAGGCCATGAGTTCAAGCCCCAGAACCTACCAAAAAAAAAAAAAAAAAGTTCCATGCCCTCCCTTTCCTGTGGCTAAAAACACACAATAATTGCATCGGCTCCAACCCATCTCCTTTCCCAAGTCTCTGGCCCCAACCTAGTCTTTCTCTTCCCCATATACTTCACCTTTTTTTCTTTTCTTTAATTACTTTTTGTTGTTGTTGTTTTAGAGGAGATATACAGCAGAGTTACCTTTGCATATGTCAGGTAATAAGTACCTTTCCTTCCTTTTGCATAGTATCATCTGTTCCCTCATTCTCTCTCCCATTCCCTCCCTCCCACCTCTATCCATCAATGTCCAGTGTAGCCAGGGGGCCCCACCACTGCCTATTTTACCCATTTTCCACTGATTCTGTGCCCTCCCCCCACCTTCCCTCAGCTGTACATGTGTGTACACTGTATATGAGGTAAAGAATATAGAGTCATCTGAAAACAAAAACAAATTAAGAAAAGGTCCTTTGTTTCCTTATCTGTAGGGTTTGTTTCAGTATGTATATTCTTTTATATACATATGAAGAGGTGCTTGGGCATTACAACTTGGGGCTTTTCTCTTAAGACTATCCTCTTTTGGTCTCATGGTGTATGGGTGTACAGATTCCTGTATACTTGGTCATATCCTGTTGTATTTTAAAGCTAACTTCTGCATATCAGGGAGAACATGTGCCATTTTTCTCTCTGGTCTTGGCTTACCTCGCTCAACATGATTTTTTCTAGTTCCATCCATTTCCCTGCAAATGCCATTATTTTATCCTGTCTAATGGCTGTGTAAAATTCCATTGTATATAGATACCACGTTTTTTGGATCCATTCATCGATTGTGGGGCATCTGGGTTGTTTCGTATCTTGGCTATCGGGAATAGTGCAGCAATGAACATGGATGTGCAGGTGTCCTCGTCATATCCTTTCACCTCACCTTTTCTCTACTCACCGGGCAATATCAGCATCAAAGGAAGAGACAGGAGGGTTGAGGCGCTGGTAGCGACGGATGAAGGAGTCTTTGTTGATCTCCCAGATTTCCCGATACATATCCCAGGTCTTGAGGTAGTTCTGCAGCAGGGCTGCATTGTTAGTCATGCCGCTGCTGATCTGTGCCTGGATCTTCTTTATATCTTCATCTCTCTCTTCAAAAGACCCAGAAAGATAACTTCTTGCTGATACCTACCCCATCCCAAACTCTAGCCTGGCCCCTGGGCACTGCCTGGAACTTCAACTCCAACACCAGTCTCCTGAAGAAACACTGCTCAATCACAAGCATTGGAAAACAGAGGAAGTAGCTGGGCATGATGGTTCATGCTCATGCCTAGCTACACAAGAGGCTGAGATCAAGAGAATCACAGAGGAAGATCAACCCAAGTAAAATATTTGCAAGATCTCATTTTAATTAATAAAAAGTTGGGCATGAGCCGGGTATTGGTGGTTCATGCCTGTAATCCTAGCTACTCAGGATGCTGAGACCTGAGACTCACAGTTCAAAGCCAGCCTAGGCAGTAAAGTCCATGAAACTCTTTTTTTTTTTTTTTTTGGTCGGTTGTGGGGCCTGAACTCTGGGCCTGGGCACTGTCCCTCAGCTCTTCAGCTCAAGGCTAGCGCTCTACCACTTGAGCCAGAGCGCCACTTCCGGCTTTTTTTTTTCTGCTGAGGAATCAAACCCAGGGCCTCAAGCATGCAAGGCAAGCGCTCTACCACTGAGCCACCTTCCCAGCCCATCCATGAAACTCTTTATTTCCAGTTAACCACCAGAAAACTAGAAGTGGTGATGTGGCTCAAAGTGATAGAGTGCTAGCTAGTCTTGAGCAAAAGAGCTCAGGGACAACACCGAGGCTCTGAGATCAAGCCCCACAACTGCAGGGGGTGGGGGCTGGACGTGGTGGCTCATGACTGTCATCTCAGTTAAAAAAAGAAGCATAAATAGGATTATAGCCTAGTCCAACATGGGCATTAATGTTTGACCCTGAGTTCAAACCCAATACGGGAGGGATGGGTAGGGAGGAGAAAAGTTAGAAGGGAAGGGAAGGGAAAGAAGGAAAAGGGAAGGAAAGGGAAGGGGAAGAGAGGGGACAGAAAGTAAAGTTTGACCCTTCGTGTCACTTCCAACTGGGTCACTTGTCTCTCCTGTGAGGATCGGGACCACTTATGGCCCAGCTCCAGTCTCAAACTTGTCTTTGCTAATCTCCTACCTCAATTCCAAATTCCATGAGCATCCATCCCCCAACATCAACTGCCATCCCAGTCTCTGTTCCCATCCCCAGCCCAGTCCCTTGACATTGTTTCCCTCCAGCCAAGGAGTTGACTGCCCAGTGTGTCTGGAAATAGTCCTTGTCTCTCCTCCTCCTTCTTCTGAAAGCCCTACCCAGGGTGCCCTACCACTGCCCACGTACCCACAGTGGCACAGATGGGTTCCCGATGCAACTTGCGCTTCATGAGGATATCGGGGAGATGGCGGAAGACAGAGATGGAGTGAAAGAGCTGGTTGCCAATGTCATTGACCACATTTGCCAAAGTCTGCAGACTGGGTGAGAATTCCACCTGTGGGAAACACAGTGGAGAGGGCTTTAGCTCAGCCCACGGAGAAGATGAGCCTCAGAACTGGCAAGGTCGAACACCTGAGAACCAGAGCTGAAGGCCATAAGAGAAAGTCAGTACCAAAGACAAAGTTTGGGGAAAACTAGTGACTACGGTGCGATAGTCTTAGAGTATCAAAGGCACAGCGTGGTCCCCACCTGAGCCACACCGCCCTGTGTATCATTCTGCAAAATGACAAGGACTCGGAAGAGTGGGTTTGGCATGGTCTTCCCATCCCCGTTGATGGCCTTGGACAATTCTAGCAGTGACCACTTTATGTTCAGGCGAAGGGCCTCCTCCATCATGCGGTCCAATCGAATCATGTACAGCATCCACTGCTGCTGAATCTGGTGGGGAAAAGATGGAGAGAGCAAAAGGACCCTTCAGGAATCTAGCCATAAGTATCGGGGAAATGAATTCCAGAAGACAGAAAAGGGAATGAGCCAGTTAAGCAGAAAAGCAGGAGATGGGGGGGGGGGGGAGCTGAAGCAAGGTGTTTGAAAGGTTGAAGATTGAAGATCTAGAGCAGGATGTATGAGAAACATACTTTGATTTAAAAAGAGGGTGAGGGGGATGGGAAGGTGGCTTAGTGGTAAAGTGCTTGCCTCACATGCATGAAGCCCTGGGTCCCATTCCTCAGTACCACATACACAGAAAAAAGCCAGAAGTGGCGCTGTGGCTCAAGTGGTAGAGTGCTAGCCTTGAGCAAAAGAAGTTCAGGGACAGTGCCCAGGCCCTGAGTTCAAGTACTGGTGAAAAAAATTAAAAGAAAATAAAACAATAAAAAGAAGGTGAGGAGCTGGGCACTAGTGGCTCATGCCTATACTCCTAGCTACTCAGGAAGCTGAGATGCGAGGATCACTATTTGAAGACATCCTAGGCAGAAAAGTCCATACGATTTCTATCCAATGAACCACTAAAAAGCTGGAAGTAGAGGTGTGGTTCAATTAATAAGAGTGAGAGCCTTGAGGGGAGCAGGGAAAGCTAGGGGACACTGCTCAGGCCCTGTATTTAAACCTCAGTACTGGTAAAAACAAACAAACAAAAAAGCATTAGGGAATGACCTTATGGAAGTGAGGCTTTCTCCAACCACAAACTCCTTTCACCCCCTACCTCGAGTCCATCGTTCTTAAACACTTCGTAGGAGTTGGTCATGATGTTCACCACATCCTCATGCAGGTCCATCAGTTTCTGTTGAACTACTGCCCGATGTTCCCTTTGGGCTTCCTCAAATTCCAGATCTCTGTACACCCGTTTACCAGTAATATGTACCAGCAGTGTCTCTGATATCTCTTGGGCCCGCCAGCCAATGGTTAGAGTTGAAGCCTTGAAATCATTCACGATCATCTGCACCTGTAGTCAGCCCCACATGAGCAGTTTGTGGCCACCAGCTTGGGAAGGGACCCTCTGGACCTCATTCTACCTTCCCACTTATCATCCCGCTAGAATTGCTCACATCTGTAAAAAGTGCTTCCTCTAAGAAGTAGAGCACTTCTCTACCATGCCCAAGGCCCTGGGTTGGATCCCAAGCACACTTTGATTTTTTTAGACTACTCTCCACTCTCTCCTCCATCACCCAACTCAGGTATTGATTCCCCATGTGCCAGCCTTTCTGCCAGCCTTGCAGACCTGCAGGGTCTCATGGCCCACCTTGCTGGCATGTACACGGCACTCCGTGATGAAGTAGACGCTGGCCCCCTTCAGGGCCCAGTGCAGCTTCTTGAGTCCAGGGTGGATCTTCTTATCTAGGAACCGGATACGCTCTTTGAACAGGGCCTGTTCATCTGTGGACAGCGTGGCGATAATCCTGAGAGTAAAAAAGGATTGGCAGTTAGTAGGATGCGCAATGAAGACCTCCCCTTCACAGCAAGAAAGTTGACAGAGCCAGACACCAGTGGCTCAAGCCTGTAATCCTAGCTACTCAGGAGGCTGAGATCTGAGGATCACAGTTCAAAACCAGCCTGGGCACAAAAGTCTGTGAGACGCTTATCTCTAATCAACCACTCCGAAAACTGGAAGTGGCACTGTGGCTCAAGTGGTAGAGCGCTAGCCTTGAGCTGAAGAGCTGAGGCACAGCACCCAGGCCCAGAGTTCAAGCCCCACAACTGACAAAAAAAGGAAGGAAGGAAGGAGGGAGGGAGGGAGGAAGAAAGGGAGAGAAGGAGAGAGGGAGGGAAGGAGAGAAAGAGGGAAGGAGGGAGAGAAGGAAGGAAGGAAGGAAGGAGTGAGGGAGGAAGGAAGGAAAGAAGGAAGGAAGGAAGGAAAGGAGGGAGGGAGGAAGGGAGGGAGGGAGGAAAGAGAGAGGAAGGGAGAGAAGGAGAGAGGGAAGGAAGGAAAATGAGGAAGGAAGGAAGGAAGGAAGGAAGGAAGAAGGGAGGGAGGGAGGGAGGTAGAGGGAGAGAAGGAGGGAGGGAAGGAGGGAAAAATGAGGAAGGAGGGAGGGAGGGAGGAAGGAAAGGAGAGAAGGAGAGAGGAAGGGAGGGAGAGAAAGAGAGTGGAAGGGAGATAAGGAGAGAGGGAAGGAAGGAAGGAAGGAAGGAAGGAAGGAAGGAAGGAAGGAAGGAAGGAAGGAAGGAAGGAAGAAAGGAAGGAAGGAAAGAAGGTCTTTTATAAGCAGAAAATGGGCCCTCACCCATCACTGAATCTGCCTGCATCTTAATCCTGGACTTCCCAGCTTCCAGAACTATGAGCAATAAGGTTCCTGTTGTTTATAAGCTACCCAGGCTGTGTTATTTTGTTATAATAGCCTGAATGAACATGGTACCTAACCCAAAACAAAGGCTCACTCTAGAGCTAGGGACCAGGAGTTCAGAGAACAAGGTGATGGGGCCAGGATAGGGGCAGAAAGGCCTCACGCAGTTCAATGAATCTGATATCATTCTGTGCCCCAAATTCTACCACCACACAGTTTTATTCCTAAAGAAGTGTCCTGTGGAGTGAGAGAGGACTGATTGCTTTTGCTCTCTCTCCTACAGCTACAAGAAACAAAAGTAATTTTAGGGTCACTAGAGGAGGGCAGCCAGGCACTGGCGGCTCATGCCTGTAATCCTAGCTATTCAGGAGGCTGAGACCTAAGGATCATGATTTGAAGCCAGACAAGGAAGAAAAGTCCCCATGAGACTCTATCTCCAATTAACCACTCAAAAACTGGAAGTGGAGCTATGGTTCAAAGTGGTAGAGCACTAGCCTTGAGCAAAAGAACTCAGGGACAGTGCCTAGGCCTGAGTTCAAGCCCTATGACTGACAAAAAAGTAAGCTGGGTGCCAGTGGCTCACCCCTGTAATCCTAGCTACTCAGGAGGCTGAGATCTGAGGATCGTGGTTTTCAAAGCCAGCCTGGGCAGGAAAGTACATGAGACTCTTATCTCCAATAACCCACTAGAAAACCAGAAGTGGCACTGTGGCTCAAGCAGTAGCACCCTTGCCTTGAGCTGAAGAGCCCAAGGACAGCACCTAAGCCCAGAGTTCAAGCCCCACGACCGACCAAAAACATTTTTTTTTTTAATTAAAAAAGGGCTAGGAATGTGGCTTAGTGGTAGAGTGCTTGCCTAGCATGCATGAAGCCCTGGGTTTGATTCCTCAGGACCACATAAACAGAAAAATCCAGAAGTGGCACTGTGGCTCAAGTGATAGAATGCTAGCCTTGAGCTCAGGGACAGTGCCCAGGCCCTGAATTCAAGCTCCAGGACTGGCAAAAAAAATTAAAAATTAAAAAGGAGCCTGGGAAAGACATGTGTGTATGTGCATGTGCATGCGTGCGTGCGTGCGTGTGTGTGTGTGTGTGTGTGTGTGTGTGTGTGTGTG